AGGAATGGGGTGGGAAGAGTTACTCTTTAAGCCACTCTGCCAGCGAGGATCATGTGCTGGGGCCTCACCCTCTCACGCGACCTGGTCGGAGGGGTGGGGTTGTGATTTTTGTTGGGTGTGGACATACAGTCACCCTATGCTGTAAGTGTGTTTCAAACCTGGTCCAGAGCCTTAGCATGGTCAGCGTCATGGAGCCTTTGGGTAAGGAGCTAAAGATGGCATTGGAGCAATGCCCTCTGGGAGGGCATTCCACGCCCAGCTCCACCTCCTCGCCAAAATGTGGGGGAAAGAATGTTCTTAGGGTTAAGGCTGATGAAGAATTGGACTCACTTCTGAACCCTAGAGTTTGTGCGTAGGCAGAGAATTGGATTTGGTGTCCTGAGTCCAACTATACCAGGAACCTATTTGCTCAGCCAGGCACCGTCAGTGTGAACTCTAGTCAGTTTCTGAAGCTGAAACAAAAATAACTTCAGGCTTTGGGCCTGTCCGCATCTGGCTGTCTGTACAATAATTGCTCTCCCCCTCTCCTGTTGGGATGAGAGAGACCCACAGAAACTAAGAGGGGAAATTGACTAGCCAGGGGGAAGCCATGAAACTGACTCGACACAAAGTTAAAGAGGCTGTAAACAAACAAGGGAAAAAACAGAGCAATGTATTTTCTCCTCTGATCTCTGTCACATCCATCTGCTCGGATGGCCCTGAGTGTCCCCCACCGGAGAGTAAGTGCTATAAATCCTTCTCTGTGCCAATCCCCAGACACTGTCCAACTATTTCAGCTCCCTAACTAGAGAGGCCTGTCTCTAGTAGATCCTGCTTCTAGCTCAGGAGGTCACTGGTTCAGTCCCTAGTGTTTTGGCCAACTCTCACATCAGCACATTCCCCCCCCCCCCCCCCCCCGGGGCATTACTTATAACAATGGGGCAGGGGGGGTGGGAAAGCTTTCCCATGGTGTGGTTTTCTTTTGTTTTGTTTTTAATTGAGTTTGGGTGTCCCTATTAACACTACTGCGGGTCCTTTCAGTGAGAGGATCTGTGGGGGACAATGCATGAGAAAGGGGATAGAAAACTCCCATCAGCTGCGCTGGTGTTATGGGGAAAGTTCAGGATGCTAGTAGCGACCATTTCTGGAGCTGCACCGTTCTTGATCTCTTTACACCTGGGGCTGGCGCACACATCCTCTTTCCAGGACACCTTTTCTTGGTGTGTCTGTGGATTTTTCTCCATGCTTTCCTGCTGTCAGGGCTGTCTTTGCCCTATTCTCTCACCCCCCACCCCTACCCCTCCATGTCATCTTATGTGCAAATCAGCATGTATTTGTCCACAACAATGCAGGGCAGGGTAGGGGGAAGTGGGGAGAGCAGTGTGTTAGGCCGAGAAGGGGAGAGAGTAAGGTGAATGGACCTTTTGGTTTCCCTTGGTTCTGTCCAAATGGAGTCAGGATTTTCTAGCATCCCATGGCCTGAGGGTGAGGAAGCAACTCTGCAGAGAGGATTCTCCTGTGTGGTGCTGGGCTGCCTGGATTGGCTCTCCAGCGAATGGTCATTAGCAGGAAGATGAGGAAGGTTATGGGGGGCCTGGGAGTGTGCATGTGGGCAGGACGAATGGAGAGCTGCCAAGCGGGGGAGAGATGGGGTAAAGGGTACCAAGGCCAAGCAAGACTCCTGGGGGCAGGAGACAATTAGAGCAAAGCGAGGGCTGTGCCCCAAGGAAAAGGCTGGGTACCGCTCCTGGTGGAAACTTGGGGGTGGGGAGCTAGTCCTGACAGGTGGATTTCGACATTGGGGTGGGGCGCCTCGCCCCAATGGGGTTTCCGCAGCTCGGCAGGGTGAGTCACCGGCTGGGATCCTGAGAAACAAATGGGGATCCCGTGGGACCCAGTGTAGGCCCTGAACCCTGATCTCGGCTGCTGTGGCGCCCGGCAGGGCTGGCTGGTGCCTCCAGCCCCGGGACAGTCAGATAGGCCCTGAGCGAGCTGCTGAAAGGGGAGCTGACGTGATTACAGGGAGGACAGGACTCCTGCCCTCCCCCCATCATCTGGGGCAGTGGGAGCTGTAGGCTCTGTGTCCCCGCTGCCTAGGATCACTACTTTGTTGCAGTGGTTGTGCAGTGAATGGTGCTGTGGGGGCACTGGCCGCAGTTTAACAATCCTCTCGATTCCCAGTTGACTTTCCAGACCCTGATGAATTTCAGGGCACTGGTTGCCCAGAGATCTGCCCATGGGGTGTTAAACTGACCCCTTAACTCCCCAGTGCCACCGTCAGGACCCCAGGCTCCTGCTCGTTACCCCGGCACTGTTGCCCAGACGGACCCCAGGCTGCCTTCTGCGTCACTGCTGCAGCCCCCAGTCTACTAGTGCAGTGGGGAAGGGAGAGGGAACTCGGGGGCGGGGGGGGGGGGTGACAAGCAGCGGCCTCTGGTGAAGGGTTCTAAACCACTGCACAGATCTCTCCTGACCAGCAGTCGGACGGCCCACGGCTGTTGAGCGCTGAAGGACCGCTGGCGCCAGAGCAAAGGCCGCTGGCCTGCCTCATGTGAGAGGATGGATGGCCCAATGGTTAGGGCGTTAGGCGACCCTGGTTCACTTCTCTGCTCTGGGGCAGGCTTCCTGTGCAGGCAAGTCACTAAATCTCTCTGTCCTGCAATTGCCCCTCGCAGGGGTGTTCTCGGGATAAATGTGTTGGACTGTGAAATGCTCCGGTCGTACAGTGGCCAGATAAGTATGTGAGAGAGAGCTGAGGCCTGTGAAATGCCCATGGGCTGGATGCAGTGCTCATGCCAATATCGCTACGCTGGCATCCGGCTGCATGGAGTTAGGTTGGTGCTGGAGAACAGTTGAGCTCCAGGTTGGACCAACCCTGTGGAACTGTCCCCTAGAAGGAGCTGGTGTCCCTCCCTCCCTCCCTGGAATTAGCTGTACGGAAGGGAAAGGGAGGAGGCCATGCCCCAAGATTCAGGTCACGGCCCTGTATATTCTGCAGCAAAGGGTAACCTACATTCTGGCGGCCTCCTTGTGAGTGATGCAATGCAGTGATGTTCTGTTCTGTGGGACAGCTGAGCTCCTCTTTACATCTACTGCTAACCCGGCATCATCCCAGTCCCCTTAGCACTTCCCCATTGTCCCTTTGCTGCACATCACAACCTGTCAGCTGGGGCAGCGCTCAGAAGCTTCAAAAGACAGAGCCAGGACCACTTGAGCTACGAAGACCCATGGCAGTATTGGGTCTATGGCACGCGGCTGAGCAATTCTGATATCCATCCAGTAGGTCAATGGGCCAGCTGACGATTGTTTATACTTCAGTCAGGGACTCGGCCCTCCCCCATAAGAGGGCGGGGGCCTCGTCTGCCTGGGGAGACCCCAGCATTTGTATCCTGAGCGATGGAGCCTCGCTGGCTGGCGCTTGCAGTTTCAGGGCTAGTCACAAGGGTCAGTGAGGAATCCCCTCTGCTTTTCCTTGTGCACGGCACTGCACGACTTGCCAGCCGCCTTATGGAGGGCGGGGATGGGGGCAAGGTTTGGCTTGCTTTGGATTGGCCGCTGCCCCAGGCAGGATACCTCGATGGGCCAACTCCTAGGGATGGTCCAGACCTGACCGACCAGCTCCTGTGTTCTTAAGCGCCACTCCCGCGGGGATGGGCCCAACGAGCCGAGCAGGGCCGCAGGCCCGTTCCGGGGCCCTCTACGGAGCCATGCGAACAAGGCTATAAATATCCCATCCGGTGTCCCCACACCCCTGCCACCCCAGGCCCAGCTCAGAGGTGCTCCAGAATGCAGCTGGAGCCTCTTTCATCCAGCAGCGCAGACAATCAGACAGTAATTACTGTAATCCACCTTCCAGAAGCTGCCTATTAGAGGGGCCTGTCTCCGAGGGCCTTTTAGGAACAGAGACTAAACTATACTTAAATCTGCAACCCCCCCACCTCCTTTTTTAGGAGCCTCTAAAATACCTTCAAAAACATCCTGGCCATCTGGACAGCGCACAGAGCTGCTAGGGGAAGATGCAGAGCTGAGATGCTGTTCAGGACCATACGGGGCTGGGCAGCTCGGGGGCTCTGTGGACCGAGGGGAGCTGTAAGGGGATAGGAAGCAGCATCCGATCTATCCTCCAGGCTGTCTGGCGCTTCCGGATCCTTAGCGCCACCTGCCGTGTGTTTCACAGCCAGAGCCCATTGCAATCAACCTGAGCTTTTCCACTGACTCCAACAGGATGATGAGGGTGAAAAGCTCATGTTCTGTCCTGTCCACCTCTCCTTCCCTGATTCAATGACCCAACTAGACCGCCTCCCAGCTGGAGGGCATCAGCCCTTAGGGCTAGGGTCGGGGCAAGGGATGGGGACTCGGAGATCTGGGTTCTATTCCTAGCTCTGCCACTGGCCTTCAGTAAGTCACTACCCTTCTCTATGCCTCAGTTTCCCCATCTGTAAAATGGGGATAATGATACAGACCTTTGAGATCTACTGATTGAAAAACTCCCTAGACAAGTGCCTTAGGCTGTAAGCTCCTTGGGATAAGAACCATCTTTTATGGTCTGTGTTTGTACAGCGCCTAGCGCCACACAGTCCAGAGCTCCTAGGGGCTACGGGAATACAAATAATATGTAAAACCAAGGTCTTGTGGTTGTCCTGGTGTCCTCTGTCAGGTTTCTGGGAGGGTGGTGGCGCAGCCATATGAGAAAGGAGCAGGCTCTGGGCCAGATTCATCCTGGATGGAAATCCACCGAAATCAGTGGGGTTACATTTGGGATGCATTTGGCGTCCTGTGCCGAGCTCGGTGCAGAGAGGGGCTCAGCAGGATCCCAGCCCCTGGTGAAACAATGACCTGGCCCAGACCCATCTCTAGCTCCACAGTTTAAGGGAAACTAGGGCCAGTTCCTAGGGAAAGCAGCAAAGGGTTAATTGCGTGGGAGGGGAACGAGCGTGACTCCTGTCTCAGACCCCTTCCTTTCCCTCTCTCTCTCCTGCTCCAGGTCTGCCGGAGCTGCGGCCCCGCTCTGGAGTCCGGCAATGCTCACGGCCGTCTGCGGCTCTCTTGCCAATCAGCGCTCGGAGACGCCGCGCGTCGCCTCCCCGCACTCGGACCTGCAGCCCCTGCAGCCCTACCAGCCCCACGCCAGCTCCGAGGCGAGCGGCGACTTCCCCTCCCCTCTCCAGTCCACGGAACTCCAGCACCTGCCCTTGGTGGGCCCCGGGGTGGAGTTCGCGGCCGCCCCCGGCTACGATCTGCATGGCTCTTCGAGGCTAGACCTGGATGGTGACAGCCTGCTGGCCCCCGGCGCATACTCCAAGCTCCTGCAGCCGCCTCCCGAAATGGCCCACCCCTATGAGCCCTGGTTCAGGCCCTCGCACCCCGGCAACGCCGCCGAGGATGGCGGCGTGAATCCCTGGTGGGACCTCCATGCCGGATCCAGCTGGATGGAGCTGTCGCCGGGTCAAGGCGGCCTCCAAGCCCCTGGCCCCGCGGGCGGACTCCAGCCGGTGCTGGGGGGGTACGGCTCCGCCGAGCCCCAGCTCTGTGGCCCGCCACACCACCTCCTGCCCTCGGCCCAGCACCTGATGGGCCAGGAAGGGCCGAAGCTGCTCGCCTCGCCTCCGGAGCCGCACGTTCTCGAGCAGGCCGTGGACGGTACCGCCAGGGCAAAGAGCTCGAGGCGCTCGGTGCCCCGGAGCGCCGGGCAGGCGGCGTGCCGCTGCCCGAACTGCCAGGAGGCCGAGAGGGTGGGGCCGTGCCCGGACGGGGCCAAGAAGAAGCATCTGCATAACTGCCACATCCCCGGCTGCGGCAAGGCCTACGCCAAGACCTCCCACCTGAAAGCCCACCTACGTTGGCACAGCGGGGACCGGCCCTTCGTCTGCAACTGGCTCTTCTGCGGCAAGCGCTTCACCCGCTCCGACGAGCTTCAGCGGCATCTCCAGACCCACACGGGGACCAAGAAGTTCACCTGCCCCGTGTGCAGCCGGGTCTTCGTGAGGAGCGACCACCTCAGCAAGCACGTGAAGACGCACGAGGGGGCCAAAGAGGGAGCGGAGGGGGAGGGCAAAGGCGGGGCAGACCCGCCGGGGAAAGGCAAGAGGGAGCCCGAGGCCGGCAGCTCCAGCCCCGTGACCCAGTCCAACTGAGCCTCTCCCCCCACCCCCCGCCGAGACGCCCCCTCCTCTCTCCGTCACCGCAGGATGGACGCTCCCCCCCTGACGCCAGGTCTCCCTCGGTGGGGCCGCGCTTTGGGCCGTGGCCCCGGGGCGTACGTGGCGGTGTGCTCTGAGCAAGAAGCTATTTATTCTGTAGGAGGGAAGTATGCAATCTCGGTGCGTGGGGCACGGGGCCTCTCCTCCCACGGGGGGCTGGGAGGGTCAGGCCTGGGGGCTGGTCTCCGAACCGCAAGAGGGAGGACATTAAGGGGTTAAGGGCTGGGACCTTTTTTTTATTTTTTCTTTTTCTTTTGAAGGATCTGAGTTGAGGCACTGTGCCGAGGGGGTGGGGCAGGGGGCAGGAGGAGGGGGCTTCCCCCATGCAAGGTGGTGGGGGGAGGGATGTCTCCGGGGTAGGCTGGGGCCTGGCACCGAGCCCTGGGTCCAGACCCTTCCCTCTGAGCAGCAAAATCCGAATCTGGAGAGCTGGGCTCTGGGCTCAGCTGGTACAGGAGGCAGGCAAGACACTGTAACCGAGGGTGGTTTTAGGTCCCCCCAGACTCCCCCATCCACTGCCTTTCCCCTCCCCCACCCAATCACCTCCTCCCCTCCCCCGCCCGAGCATTTTCTCCCCTCTTCCCCCCACCCCCCAACTCCCCTTCCAGCCCCACCCCGCTGCAGACTCTGCACTCCACCCTGCAAAATGACCCTCCTGGCCCGATCCCCTTTGCTCCCTGACGCCCTGCCTGGGAAGCTCCCAGAAGCCGGCTCCTGCCCTGGGGGGGTTTCGCTCATCTGGGCGGCGGAAGCTTCCCCGCTTGCTCGGGGATCCTCCCGCCCTCCCCCTGGTTTGTGCTGCTACGACTTCTGGCAGGAGGGAGGCTGTTTGGAAGGAAGATCAAGCGGGACCCAGAGCAGCGAGGGCCCTTCCCTCTCGGCTGCACCTGTCCAGACACGTCTGGGGCCAAAAGGGGACGGCGGGTTGAGAGAGGCTAGTTTCCAAACAGCTCACCCCAAAGGGAACCCCCTGGAGAGGGGGAGCAGAGGGGTTCACTGCTCTTCCTCCTCCCGTACACCCCCTTTGCCCCCCATTCCCCCCCAGCAGAGGAACAGACCCCCACCGTTACCCAGGACACGTAGGAGCTGGGATCGGCCCTTAGAATCCCAGCCACGAAGCTGCAGTGGGGCAGAGCCATGGGTCTTTACTGACCCGGCGTGGTTTGTCCCTGCCCAGCGCTACCCCAGGGTGGGGGTGGGGGGAGGTGGAGCTGCCCTCCCCCACCCCGGGTGTTCATGGGAGGCTGAGCAGCTGCTGTGTTGTAGACCCAGGTGGCAGGCCCCTGAGCGGGGTTCAATTGAGCTGCCCAGATCATGGAGTTTAGGGGACGAGGTGGCCCCAGGTGGGAACCCATCAGCGTCAGGGGCATTGTGCTTGCTTGGCTCTAGGTGCAGGGGTGAATCCCTCCCACCCCCATGGTAGCTCAGCCTCTCCTGTCTCGCCGCCTTCCATCAGAAGGTCCCATGTTTAGCCATTACGGCCCCGCTCCCAGCTTTTGGTCCCTGCAGCCAGTGTTATGATCCTCCAAAGGGACAGGGGTTCCCACCCCGCGTCACCCCAAGCAGTGAAGGCCCTGGACGTTCAGGCCCTCGTGAGTCTGCCCCAGGGGGTTCCCGGCTCTGCCACGTGACCTCTACCCCCTCCTGCTTTTTGGCTGCGCTGGGAGGACCCAGAGGACAATCTTCCCCAGGTGGGGTGGGTGAGTCCAGTCAAGGCCAATGCCCAGGGACAGGGGCCGAGCCGCAGGGAAGAGATCCTTCTCGTGGCGGGAACCCACTGGCCCCACGGGGACTGGGGTGTGCGGGGCAGAAACCCCGCGATGAGCCGCCCGGGCGTGGGGAGTGGCGCTCTGCGGCAGGGGGAAGCCTCGGGGGGGGCTGCGCCGAGGCTGCTGGGCGAGTTGTGCAACGTGCCGGCCTTTGTACGATTGCCCAACGTGTGCAGCTGCTCCTTTCCCACGCCCACCCCTCTCCCATCCGTCCGTCACCCGCTCTTCCCCCGGGGGGTGAGCCTTGCCTTGGAAAGCCAGTGGAGCCAGCAGCAGCCAGATTCCGATCCTATGGCCCAATCGGGCCAGGCAGGGAGGGAGGGAAGCGTCAAACCACCCTCTCCCTGAGCAGCCGGGCTGGGTGGGTCTTGTTTTGCCCTGGAAGCTGAATCCAGGCAGCTCTGAGCCTGATCCCATGCTCTGCACTCCAGCTATATTTATTGAATGCCTAGATTATCAATTGGGCTGTGGAAGCTGATGGGTTGGGAAACATCCCTAGAAATCCCCCTCCCCCTTGCTTTTTCGTTAAACTGTTGATTTTTAAACCAGTTTATCCCGAAGGAAACTTTTTCTCTCTCTCTCTCTTGATCCTACCCCCCCTTTTTTCTTTTTTAAATGAAGTAGTTGTTTCATCTAATTGTTTTCCTAAATGTCGGCAGAACCCTCGAGCAAGTAAGACGGGCTCTTCTGCCAGTGCAAATGTAACTGTGGGGAGTGGAGGGTTGGGCTTCTGTCGGGAGATTGGGGGAGAGATTTTAAGCTACGGCTACCTCTAGATCCAAAATTCTGGAGGCCAGATCCTCAGCTGGCATCTTGCAGCTCCCCTCCATTGAGTGCACTGATTGACGCCAGCCAAGAATCTGGCCTAGGGATTTTTCGCAGCTAATATCATGGTTTGGTCCATTATTAAAACGTGGGGTAATTTGCCAGATTCAGAGTGGAGTTTGGAGACCAAGAAGCCTCTAACTTTCAGAGTGTTTGGAGTTTGGAGGAAGTTCAGGCCCATCTCTGGGTATGAGCCGAGCTCTTTATTTTAGACTGTTTTATTAATTATTATTATTTTATTAATATTATTATTAATAAGGTGAAACCAGGCTTTGCCAGTTGGGGAGGATGGAAGCTTAGAGACTAAACTCATTTAATGTGCATCTTTGGTGGGCCAGTTGGCTGGCTGTCCCCAGTACTGGTCTCAAAAGCCAGTTGCTTGTCTCTGGTCCTATCTGGGCTGGGATCTGAACTGTGCTTGCTGCAGACAGGTTTTGTTAAAGGGCTGGGGAATTCTGAGACCTCTCATGGGTAGCTGAGGGCAAAGAGCCTAAATATGTTTCAAGTTTGAGTCTTGTTGGAACGACTCGTGAGTAGAGGCTGCAGGATTGGACCTCCATTCTCTAGCACCGTTTCCTTGGCTGGTGTCAAGGACCTTTTCCCTCTCTGATGTCCGTCCATGTGGCTGGCTTAGTCAGAGTCCCAATGCACCCGCCTTCTCTTCCAAAGGATAATTCCGATTTTTCAGATTCTTCTCCATTTGCATTTTTACCCTCTCAGGGAACGGACAACAAAACCAACTCGAACACCAAACTAATTCAGACCAAATCTCACAAGTGTAGAAATCAAGATTCATCCGCCACAAATAAACCCCTCCTATTAATTGACGGATTACCAGATAGAACAGAGAGCGGAAAAGATGGACAGCTGCCTCCCTGTGTGGGGAAAAAAAACAGGCCTGGTTTATCCCTGGTTTAACTTCAGAGATACAGCTGGCTCCTGATGTATTCAAATTTCCCTCCTTGTAAACTTCAGTGGAGATTTTTTTTTTTTTTTAAATCGCTTTCTAGATGGAGGAAGAAATTGACAACTAGTTGTATTCACCACTGAAAATCCAAAACCTTCTAACCTTAACTAGAGTCTATCCCTGTCCATGCTGGTAACAAGGAGACTGTGCTAGATTCTTGCTAATAACCAACCTAATTTGCCTAGTTATTTATGCAGCAAAACCAATGTGGGTTTAGATCCAGACTGTGTGTCCTACCCCCAGTATCAGGAGTTGGAGCTGGGAGAAGTAGGGTTTGCATCAATGATTCTAGTTTGGTCCATCTCTGGTAAACCAGAGCCCTGCTGAACTTTGAGCAAGTCTGTATGTGAATCCAAACTTTGCCTCTTAGGTCATGTCTATAAAAGGACATTCAGGAAAGTAGTTAATTCGGATTAATGAAAGGTGTGAATTTAAAGTGCATCAGTTAAACATGAATGAAGCTCAATCAAATTAATTCTGAATAAGGCCATCCACACAGAGGTTTAATGCAGTTGAACTAATCCACTTTAAAAGTTAATTCAGATTAGTTTTCCTGACTGTCCCAGTGTAGACAAATCCTCTGGGCTTGATCCATCTTCCAGTGAAGCTGATGTGGGGGTGACCTGACCACTTTGTTAGCAGTGACCACAGTTTAAACATGCTTATGGCTACAGGTTTCCATCCTGGAGCTGATGTGGGGCATCCCCTGGGAGCTCTGAAGCAGTGCTGTCTGATCTCTCCCTCCTGCACCCTACAAACAGGTCCTGAGAACACGAGGGTCTTTGGGAGTTGGGGTGGATTCCTTTGCATCTGGGCTCAGCTCGTCACATCTGGCCTGCCCCCTCCATCGATATTGGGCAAAATCGCTGTTCCCCTAATAGAATTGCTCCTGCCTGGTTTCTGCTGGTGAAGGCATTGGAGTGGCTGGGGGTGATCCCACTTTTTAAAGCAGAGATCTGAATTGGTTCCTGGATCCAAAGAGCCACATATAGGATAGGTCCATGCTGGCCTTCTGCTGTCCCAGGGCAGCTGAACAGTTTGGAAGGGAAACCAGTGGAAGTAGGGGATTTAGGCAGCCACTCCGCCACCTCCTTCCCTGCAGCTAGGATGGCTCAGAACCCAGCCGCTCCCATCAGGCCTTTGATTTATGGGGCAATGAAGGCTGTAAAACTGGGTGGGGAGAGACTGCTCACTAGGTCGCCGCCTGCCACAGCCAGCCCAGCCTGCTGCAAGGTGGGGATTTCAGGAGGGGCTTGCTGGTGCTGTGCTCCAAAATTGGCTAGTCCAAGCGTCTCCTAGCCCACTGTCTCCCTGCAAGGGGGCTGCCCAGGTGAGGAACATACAGGCCTGAAATACCAAGCCAGCTGGGGTGGTGCCGTTGAACCTGGGCATAAGCTGATCCCCAGCTGGGTGGTCGTGGGGGAATTTCTGCTCCCCAGGGGAAGAGTATCCCGTAGGTAGATACAGCACAGGAGCATCTGACGGCAGACACTGCTGGAGGCGGGGTAGCAGAATAGATGGGCCTGCTGATCTGAACCACTGGGGGCAGGATGCTGGGCTGGTTGAGCATGTTGGTTTGATCCAGGGGATACCAAACTAGATGAGCATGTTTCTTTGATCCAGGAGATACCAGGCTACAGAGACTATTTGGCTTGATTCAGGGAGTGGGGATACCAGGCTAGATGGGCCACTAGTTAGATCTGAAGTGGTAATGAGGTGGGG